GCCGGTGCCTCCTCCGTCGCGCCACCCTCGCCCCCGAAACCAGCCCCACCGCTGCCCTCGCATCCGCCGCCGTCTGGCACGCCGCCGCTCTCGCCCTCGCCTCCAGCCGTCGCCGCCGCCCTCGCCGCCGCCACCCTCGTCTCCGCCCTCGCCGCCGCACGCCCTCACACCCGCCGCCGGTGCCTCCTCCGTCGCGCCACCCTCGCCGCCGCCACCAGCCCCACCGCTGCCCTCGCATCCGCCGCCGTCTGGCACGCCGCCGCTCTCGCCCTCGCCTCCAGCCGTCGCAGCCGCCCTCGCCGCCGCCACCCTCGTCTCCGCCCTCGCCGCCGCAAGCCCTCACACCCGTCGCCGGTGCCTCCTCCGTCGCGCCACCCTCGCCGCCGCCACCAGCACCACCGCTGCCCTCGCATCCGCCGCCGTCTGGCACGACGCCGCTCTCGCCCTCGCCTCCAGCCGTCGCCGCCGCCCTCGCCGCCGCCACTCTCGTCTCCACCCTCGCCGCCGCCACCCTCGCCGCCGCCCTCGCTACCGCCACCAGCGTCACCGCCCTCGCCGCCGCCGCCCTCGCCGCCGCCGCCCTCGCCGCCGCCCTCGCCGGCGCCTCCATCTCCACCACCACCCTCGCCGCCCCCGCCCTCTCCACCGCCGCCCTCGCCGCCGCCGCCATAGCCGCCATCGCCGCCATCGCCGCCATCGCCGTCACCGCCGCCGCCCGCGCTGCCACCGCCCTCGCCTCCACCTGCCTTTCCGCCGCCGCCCTTGCCTCGACCCTGTCCGCCGCTGTCAGCCCGCCACCCTCGCCTCCGCCGCCGTCGCCGCCGCCCCCCTCGCCGCCGCCGCCCTCGCCGCCCTCGCCGAGCCCGCCGCCGCCCTCGCCGCCTCCGCCGCCCCCCTCGCCGCCTCCGCCGTCGCCTGCACCGCCCTCGCCAGCACCTCCGTCGCCGCCGCCGCCCTTGCCGCCGCCCCCCTCGCCGCCGCCGCCCTTGCCGCCCTCGCCGAGCCCGCCGCCGCCCTCGCCGCCTCCGCCCTCGCCTCCTCCTCCCTCGCCGCCGCCGCCATCACCGCCGCCCCGGTCGCCGCCGCCGCCCTCGCCTCCTCCGCCCTCGCCGCCTCCGCCCTCGCCGCCGCCCCCGTCGCCGCCGCCGCCGTCGCTGCCGCCGCCCTCGCCTCCTTCGCCGTCCCCGCCACCGCCCTCGCCGCCGCCACCCTCGCCGCCGCCGCCCTCGCCGACGCTGTCGCCCCGCAGCAGTCTGTCACCGCCGCCTCTCTGCCTCTCTGCCGCCGCCCGCCTCCTGCACCCGCGCACACGGCCGTCCACTGCCCTCACTGCTGCCCCTGCCCCGCGCCCTCCGCCGGCCCACGCTGCCTCGACTGCCTCCGCCTCGCCTCAGCCTGGCCGGCGCCGCCTCCGCCTCCTCGCTCCGCCTCGCCCCGCAGCAGTCCGTCACCGCCGCCTCTCCGCCCAGCCACCTCACAGCCCTCACCGCCCTCGCCCCCCTCGCATCCCTCGCCGCCCTCGCCGCCCTCGCCACCTCGCCGCCTCTGCCGCCGACCTCCTCTGCCTCTGCCTCTGCTTCTGCCGCCTCTGCCTCTCTGCCCCTCTGCCGCCGCCGCCTCTGCCTCTGCCTCTGCCTCCGCCGCCACCATCGCCGCCCCCTCGACACACTGCCTCCACACACTGCCTCGACACACTGCCTCGACAGCCTCGCCTCTGGCCCTGCCTCGGCCTCTGCCCTGCCTCGGCCTCTGCCCTGCCTCGGCCTCTGCCCTGCCTCGGCCTCTGCCCTGCCTCGGGCCTCTGCCCTGCCTCGGCCTCTGCCCTGCCTCGGCCCCTGCCCTGCCTCGGCCTCTGCCCTGCCTCGGCCTCTGCCCTGCCTCGGCCTCTGCCCTGCCTCGGCCTCTGCCCTGCCTCGGCCTCTGCCCTGCCTCGGCCTCTGCCCTGCCTCGGCCTCTGGCCCTGCCTCGACAGCCTCGCCTCTGGCCCTGCCTCGACAGCCTCGCCTCTGGCCCTGCCTCGGCCTCGCCTCTGGCCCTGCCTCGGCCTCTGCTCTGGCCCTGCCTCGGCCTCTGCCCTGCCTCGGCCTCTGCCCTGCCTCGGCCTCTGCCCTGCCTCGGCCTCTGCCCTGCCTCGGCCTCTGCCCTGCCCTCTGCCCGCCTCGCCTCTCACAAACGCGGCACGGCCCGTTTTGGCTGTATTTACCTTACCTTACCTTACCTTACACCGCCTCGACAAACTCCGCATCGACACACTGCCTCGACACACTGTGCTTCTATGTGAGGTGCGACGTGTGAGTGAGTAAGGTACGTACGCTGTGCGAGACTTATCTGTGCGCCTTATGTGCTGGGGTGCGGCTGCGCCGCAAGACCTCCCAGCCCGTCAGTGGGAGAAAGAAAAAACAATGGTGGTGTTGAGAAACACCGGGGGGGATTTTTTGGGGTTTTCTAGGAGAGGGTGGTGGGAGCGGCGGCGGTGGCGGAGACGGTGGTGGTGGCGAGGGCGGCGGAGGGGGTGGCGGCGAGGGTTGGGGGGGCGAGGGCGGTGGAGGCAAGGGTGGCGGACTAGGCGGGCCGGCGGTGGGGGCGAGGGCGGTGGACTGGGCGGCGGAGAGGGCGGCGGCGGTGACGGCGGCGTCACCGCCGCCGCCCCGCCAGCGCGAGTGCCGGCTCACGCCGCGCGGCGGGGTGCGGCGGAGGCCGAGGCTTGCGCCGGCCGCGCTCAACCCGGGGCTGCGGCGCCCTGATTGGACGTCCGAGCTGAGACACCTTCCGAGCGGAGGCTTTTTACTTTCTCAGTCCGCAGACGCGACCGAGATAAGTGGAGATGAGATTTGGAGCCAGAAGCATCTCTTAAAAATGTGAAAATGGCCGCTTTTCGGAAGATCGGATTAATCGGATAGATCGAGCGAGAGCATGCGGGAGCTAAAGTAGCGGCAGCGCAGTAGCGGCAGCGAAGTGAGTCGAGTCAAAGTAGCGGCAGCGAAGTAAAGTAAGTAAGTAGCGGCAGCGCAGTCAAGTAAGAGTAGCGGCAGCGGCAGTATCACAGGAGCGGCAGCGAAGTCTCTCGAGTTTTTTGCCTCTTTTTGAGCGCTGCTGCTGCACACCCAGCCCACCAGTGATCCTAGACGCACCAGATTCACCCCGTCGCGAGCTTGACCGCGACCCCGGTAACCGCCCACAGGTGGCTGATCGCGGCCGCCGAGGTCGAGGAGGAGGAGGATCCTCCCTCCGGCCGTGCCGGCCGCGCGTCGCTCTTGACCCAGTTTGGGTTGCCACGCTGGCCGGGCTCGCGGCCTGCCGCCGCGGCCGCGGCGTGCCGCTGCTCCTTGCGCCGCTCGACATCGGCCTTTGCCTTGGCTTTCTTCCGGAGGGCCGCCTCGTCTGCCTCTTCCTCGTCCCTGCGCCCTCCTCCCCGTCCTCGCCCTCCTGCGCCGCCGGCTGCTCCTCCGCCCACGGCGGCGGCGCGGAGTGCGCGGGCGCCGCGGGCGGCGCCGCGAACCACGGCCAGTCCGGCGGGAACGCGTCCTCGTCCTTGAGCATCACGGTAAAGAGCTCGCCCGGCAGCTTGCCCGGCGGGATGGTCACCTCGAGCCTTTCCCCGCTGGGCGGCCGGACAAAGATGGTGTGCGCCGAGGAGGCGGTGGTCTCCGGCATCGCAAAGGTGTGAAACGACCACTCCGGCTTCTTGATGACGAGCTGCACGTGCTCCATCTGCAGCGACAGCCGGCAGAGCGACCGCTCGAGGCGCTCGAGGTTGGCGGCGAGGCCGCCGTCGCGGAGATCGCGAACTTTCGTCTCGAGCTGGTTGATCTTGAGCTGCTTCCAGTCGAGCTTTTGCTGCAGGTTCCGATTCTCAAGCTGCAGAGCCTGCAGGTCGCTGGAGGAGGCTGCCATGCTGGTGGACCAACTGCCGGAGTTGGACGCAAGAAGAAAACGCGGCGTTTCCTCCCTTGGGTTATCGGCTCCTATAACGGGGTCTTTTCATCGCAGCGCAAATCTATCGCAGCGCACTCGCCATCTGTGAGCCTAGCGCAGCGCGAACTCGCCGTCTGAGCCTAGCGCAGCGCGAACTCGCTCTGAGCCTAGCGCAGCGCCTCGGAAAACACCATTTTGGCTCGCCAACAAGCCCTCCGCGCCCCCACACCCGTAGGATAATACTTTTCCACCTGTGTCCTTTGCAAAGTACGCCTATGAGGGGCGAAGTGAAGTGGGAACAGTGAATGCGTAAGGGGGAAGGCAGAAGTCGGCACAGCGAAGTGCAAAGTAGAAACCACAAACGCTAGTTAGCAACTCCAAAGTCAACCGCAACAAGTCAGAAGTCGCTTCCGTCATGTCCTAAGTGCAAACCACTAACCGTGTGAGGAACGTGGAACTGCCAACAGCAAAGCTGCGCGGAACTTGGAAGGCCGTTGTGCAGAAGTGCAAACACACAGTTGAAGTCAGAAGTGGCATACGTAAAATGCGAAAGTAGAAGGCTAAACAGAAAACTGCAAAACCAAAAGCTCGAAGTGAGAATGCAAAACTCAATCTCCAAAAGTCAGAAGTGCCATGTGTAAAATGTAAAATGCGAAATTAGAAGGCTAAACAGAGAACTGCGAAACCAAAAGCTCGAAGTGAGAAAGCAAAGCACAGAAGCCACAGACTTCGGCGATCGGCCACTCTCGTCATGCACGGCGCGCTGCTCCTTGCTGCCGCGTGCACCGCTGCACCCACCCTTGACCACGGCTCGAGCCGCGCCAACATCCTCGACCTCTTTGCGCATTCGCGCGACACGGCGCGTGTGGCTGCGCTCACTGGCCTCACGCGGCGGCGCGTGCAGCAAGTCGTGGCTGCGGCTGGCCTCTCGGGCCGCGAGCGGCTGCTTCCGCTTCACCCACGCTTCAACGACATCGTGAACTTCGAGGTAACGCGCCACGGCGCGAATTACGGCTACAAGATGCTGCTCGGAGTGCTGAAAGCGCACCACCCCGACTGGCGCTGGCCGCGCGAGGCGGTGCAGGCGGCGCTGCGCGCAGTTGACCCTGCGGCGAGCGACGCCCGCCGGTCTTGGTGCTACCGCAGGATTCAACGCGGCGCCTACCACGCGCCGTACTTCATGTACTCCACGCACATTGATTTGGCGTGCAAGCTGCAGGAGTACCGCATCTTTGTCGCAGTAGCGATCGATGGGCGCACTCGCTTTGTGCACTCACTGACAGCGCTTATGAACAAGCTGCCCGTCACGGTGTACGAGGAGTTTGTCGCGCCTTTCCTAGCAGCCGACGCGCTGCCCGACCAGATCGTCACTGACAAAGGGCGGGAGTGGTACGTGGCCGCCTTTGTCTGCCTGCTGCTCGCGCGCAGGGCTGGGCGCGCGGGCGGGCGCGCCGCGCACCGCTTTGTGCCGTCCACCCGCAACGTCGCTTGCGTATCTCCGCTCTGCGGCGTCCGCTGCACCACTCTCTCTAACCCCTGCTCTTGTACCGTTTAGACACCAGTCGAGCGCTTCAACCGCGAGGTGAACATGCGCGTGTTGGTGCACTTCCGTCGCCTCATCAACTTTATGGAAGAGAATGACCTCCTCGACAAGAACGACGCGCAGGAGGTGCACGCCTTCTCGTCGGTGGCCACGCCCCTTGTGCAGGCCGGACTAGACCTGCTCAAGGCGTCGTGGAACCAGCACTCCATCGCCGGGCGCACCGGATGCCCCGGCACCGGCGGCATCCCCGCCCAGCGCGCAGCGCGAGATCCGCACCCAGGCGGGCAGCTTGTTCTCCCGCCGAACTTCGACGGTGCGAGAGAGTACGAGCAGGCGCGTGGGCAGCGGCTCCCTCGAGTCCCCGCGTTTGTGCGCTCCGCTGAGACGCTCCTCGGGCGACCCAACGCACGGGCCCGGCGCGCTGCGCGCGTCCACAGGCTGCTAGGTGGAGACACGGAGGAGGCATACACAGACATTGTCAATGGCGACTATGACGCCTTTATAGATGCATACGAAGAGTTCCTGCAGTTCGTGTGAGTGGTGGGCCGTGCCCAGGTGTTACGCATGGCAGCTCTGTGTTGGACGGGTGTGGCTGTGGGCCCAAGGGGCTAGAGTATAATGTGAGTAATGCGTCCAGCGTCTGTGCATCGAGGTCTTAGATAGAGAGTGGACGGCTGTGAGTGTGAGGCCTCCGTGCGGATTTGGACACATCGCAGTGCGCCGACCTGCGGCGTGGGCCGACGTTTTTTGATCTCTGGGTCAGTGGGGGGCCGAGCCACCTCGGGGTGGCGGGCGGGCGGGCGTTTTGAAAAACAGAAAACAGAAAACAGAGGGGGGCCAGGGCCCCCACTACGATTAGACACAAGCACCTGGCTCCTGGGACAAAGCGAGCAGCAGCAGCAAGCAGTTCAGCGGAGAAGGGGGGGGGGAGGAGCCGAGGGGGTGACGTCCCGACACGGCAGGTTGGAGCTGACCCAGGGAGAGAGAGAGAACAGCGATGGCAGCCCCCAATGACTGTAGACAGAAATGACGAGCCGACAGCGATGCAGCGGCAGCGAAAGCGGCGAGGAGGGCCCGCTGCAGAGCTCCGCTGGGCGGCAGCAGAGACATCGGCGGACGGGGGAGCACGCTGGACACGTCGGCATAGGAGCCAGGGGGGTGGCTGGGCCTGCATCATGAATGGGCCTGCATCGCATGATGGCGACGGCGGCGACGTAGGCGAGACGGCGGCGAGGGTGGCGACGGTCACGATGAAGGTGGCTGACGAAATGGATGACGCCATCGCGCAACATGACATCCTCGATGTCGTCGTCCTCGAGCCGGTTGAGCTCCTTCATCAGGAAGTGTATTGCCGTCGCCCGCTCCTTTTGCGGCGTCACTATTAAGTGTAAGCAACTTGCTTCCACTTAATAGTAGTTAAAAAGCCTGCTGACTCACGAGGTAGGCGGCGCGCAGCGCCGCTCTCGCAGGCTGTTTTTGACTGTTTATGCATTTTGTTTTTGTTTTCAGTCTAGGGGGCCCGACCCCCTCAGAGGCGGCGGGCGGGCGCCCACTGACCCAGAGATCAAAAACGCTCGGCCGTGGTGCCGCTCAGCTCACCTTGTGATTTTTGGGTCAAAATCGTCCCGATTTCATAATGTTCGTTCGTACGTGCATCCGCGGCGCCCAGCGCGGTGCCAGCGGCTCCCATACCTCTAAGAAGGTGGGGGACGACAGTCGTGGCCTTGTTTTGGACGTTACGTGCCGCCGAAACTTGATCACCGATCACCGTCTGAATAGATAAGTCCTATACAACTCTCCAAAGGCCGGTGATCGGTGACCAGGTGATCGGCCGGTGATCATGCAGCTAGTGGGTGGTGCTCCGGCCACCGTAAGGACGGTCAGGCTACGGTCAGGAAGTAGGTTTGAGTTCACACTCTCCAACACTTAAAATCCCCGTTTGTCGATAAGCGATAACGGATAAGGCAATTCAACACGAATGGTTAGTTACTGCTCGCTGCTCGGCCATGCGGTAGCGTCAGGCTCGCCATCTCTGTGCTCGGTGGCGGAGGTTGAAGCAGAGTTGTGTTTCCTTTGTCACTTCGCACTTCGAGCTTTGGGTTTCCAAATTCACTGTTTGGAGATTGAGTTTTGCATTCTTGCTTTGAGCTTTTTGGTTTCGCAGTTCACTGTTTACCCTTCTACTTTCGCATTTTACATATGGCACTTCTGACTTCAACTTGTGTGTTTGCACTTCTGTGTTCCGGCCTTCCGAGTTCCGCGTAGGTTTGTTGTTGGCAGTTCCACGTTCCTTACGCAGTTCGTGGTTTGCACTTAGGACATCTGAAAAGCGACTTCTGACTTGTTGCGGTTGACTTCTGAGTTGCTGCGTGGCGTTTGTGGTTTCCACTTTGCACTTCGCTGTGCCCACTTCTGCCTTCCCCCTTCCGCATTCACTGTTCCCACTTCACTTCGCCCCTCATAGTACGCCTTGGACACAGAGTACACAGGTGCTCAAAGTCGATCGCCTTCCCGGACACAGATACACATATCGGCCTTACACAGGCAGACGAAGCGATGGGCTGCGGCACGAGCAAGCCGGGCCTGACCTACGAGGAGAAGCTGGAGCTGTGGCGCAAGTGGGGCGGCGGCGACCTGGAGCGTGTCCTCGCGAGCGGCGCCGTCGCCCTCCTCGACGCGCAGTGGATCATCCGCCACGCCGAGGCGGGCGGCGTCCTCACCCACCGCCAGGCGCTGCCCGAAGAGGCCTTCCTCTCTTTCGCCGACCTCGTCGAGGCGACCATCGGGTATGCGGAGTGGCTTCCCGTCGCCGCGCTCTCCTACCCGTGGCTGACCAAGGACCACCCCGACCCGCGCGGAGCCAACCTCGCCCGCGTCGCGAGGGCGCTCAAGGCCCTGCTCAGCCATCCGTACATCACGCGGCTCGGCGTCTTTTGGGACTTCGGCTCGCTCCACCAGCACCCCGACCCCCCCAACGGCGTCCTGCGCACTGACGAGCAGAACGCGCTCTTCAAGGAGGGGCTGGGCTGCCTCGGCACGCTCTACTCCCACCAGCACACTTGGGTGCTGCGGCTGACCTCCTTCCCGGACGGCCACAAGGCGGAGGATCAGGCCGAGGGCACCAACGTGGCCAAGTACTTTGACCGCGGCTGGTGCTACACGGAGTGCAGCTGGGCGGGCCTGACAAAGGCTGGCCACCTCTCGCTCGACCTCGGCAAGATGCGCGCCGGCGTGGAGTACAGCTACGGCAGCCTCGTCGACGACTGCACCGAGGACGGCGGCCGGCGCCCTCCGCTGCTGCCGTCTGCGTTCGCGGCGGAGCTGGAGACGAAGAGCTTCACCAACGGCAAGGACGACAAGCCGCTGGTGAAGCGGCTGTACGAGGCCGCCTTCGAGGAGCAGTTTGGAAAGGCGACCAAGCTGGTCTACGCCGGCCTCGGCTGGGGCGACGCGGAGGCGGCGAAGCTGGCGGAGGTCCTCGCGAGCGGGGCAGCGCCGCGGCTCGAGACGCTCTATCTCAACGACAACAAGATTGGCGACGAGGGCTGCAAGGCGCTGGCCGCCGCCCTCGGCAAGGAGGGGGCAGCGCCGCGGCTCAAGGGGCTCTATCTCGACGAAACCAAGATTGGCGACGAGGGCTGCAAGGCGCTGGCCGCCGCCCTCAAGGAGGGGGCCGCCCCGAGCTTGAAGGCGCGAGACGCTCCCCCTCGCCACACGCCCCTCCCCCGCCCAATGCTCATCGCACCTCCCCTCGCGTGCAGTACCTCGAGGTGGACAACACGGAGCAGCCTGAGCTGGTGGCCGTGTGCGAGGAGCGCGGCATCATCCTCTACTGAGCCTCTCCAGCCCCGGCCGGGCGGCGAGGGCGCGGGGCCCGGCGGGACCGCCGCGCGAGCACGGCAGAGAGCAACAGACCCTGCGGCTGCGGAGCACGCCGTACTGCGACGGTGCCGGGCGCGCGCGGGTTGCGCGGGATGGGGGTATGGGTGTGGGGGGGGGGGGGGGGGATGGGGGGTTGGGGGGTTCTATAGGCGCACGTGGGAGAGGAGCGCGCCGCGGCGGGCGAGAGGGAAGTGTGGCGAGAGGGAGCGGGCGAGAGGGCGGGCGAGAGGTGGGGGTAGGGGCTGGGTTGGGCGAGAGACACACAACCGAGAGACAGTCGAGATGGATGGGGGTTGGGGCACTGCCTGAGGCCTGGGGTTCTCGAACGGGCTGTGCTGTGGGCAGAGAGCGCAGAGGGCCTGAGGCCGGAGGCGCACCTCACGCGGGGACGGCTGACAGAGTGCGTAGAAGGCGCCGTGGCTAGTTCCATTTCACTGTGGCACAGCTCGCGTTACAAAACCTTGATTTTGACCATTGCGCGAAAAAGGTACATCTCGGTGCCTTCCAGAGGCAGCTGCGACCCCGCCGAGTGGACGGTAACGCGGG